CCCTTTCTATTTATTATTTTTTTACAGCATGCTTTATCATTTCTTACATTGCTGGCTTGGTGGTAATAAGCTCCCTTGGACCTTTTTTGTCTATGAACCTGCTGATTTCACCTTCAATCTTGAATGATAGCCTTACTGGCTATAGTGCTCTTGGATTCAGTCCCTTGCTTTGTATCACTTTGTATATTTTATTCTATTTCCTTCTGGCTTGATTTGTTTCTGTCGAGAAATCAGTTGATAGTCTAATGGGAGATCTCTTATAGGTAACTTTCTGTTTCTCTTCAGCAGCCTTTAAGATTCTTGCTTTTTCATTGGTGTTTTCCAATTTAATTATGATGTGTCTTGGTGTCAGTCTATTTGGGTTCATCTTGTTTGGGACTCTTGTGAGCTTTTTCGACTTGTGTGAGTTTTTTATTCCCAATATCATGGAAGTTTTCTGTCATTACTAGTATTTCTTCAAACGGGTTTTCTACTCCTCACTTTACTTCCTCTCCTTCTGGTACCCTATTATGCAGAGTTGTTTTATTTCATGTTGTCTCAAAGCTCCATTACACTCTCCTCCTCCTTTTTAAGTTTTCTTTCTAGTTGCTGCTGTGCTTTATCAATATTGTCTTCTAATTCACTAATATAGTCCTCAATGCTGGTCTATTGTTGAAACTTTCTGTTTTGTTCTTTATTGTGGCTACGTCATTCTTCATTTCCTCTTAATTCTTCTTCATTTATTCTTGATTTTTATGCATATTGTGGAATTTATCTTCCATCTTTTTCAGTGTCCTTATACCATTGCTCTGAATTCTTTCTCTGACAACTTACCCCCATTTCATTATTTCCTTTTCTAATTCCTCCTTTACTTTAGAAGGGGAGGTTGTTTCTTTGTCTCCCAATTTTTCTTTGTGATTCAAAGAAACAGATGAGATCAACTGCTATGCTACCCAGATTTTTTGAGTTTGTCTCATGTAGTAGATGTTTTATGGACCCAGTGGTACAATCTCTCTGGTCTGGGCAATCTAGGGATACCTCCTACTTGGGCAATTTGAGTTATCTTGGTATAACTGGACTTGAGTATTATTGTCCGATTCGTGAATGGAGTCTCCTTTCAATGTGTCTGGTTATGTGGCTCACTTTCTACTACATTGACCAATCAGCGCAAATTACAACTCAATAAAATATGAAACAAAGGGAACAAAACATGAATGTAATCAGGATACTAGAGAAAAGAGAATTAGGGAAGAGAAAACAGAGCAAAAATGATATCAAGGAAAGAAAAAAATGGTAAGAGAAAAGAAAAAGTAAAAAAAAAATATATATACACACACACACACACACACACACACACAGTGAAAACACTACAGAACAAAAAGATAAATGAAAATGCAAACAAAGAACACCCAGAAAAGAGAGTGGAGGCAGAATCTGTAGAGGCAGAGCTTGTATACAGAAAGTAAGGTTAAGGAATTGAATGAATATGGGGAGGACCTCAGTTCAGTGTAGAGGAAGTAGAAAGAGGATGAGTAGAAAAGAAGAAAAGAAAGATAAAGAAAACAATTTTTAAAATAAGATAAAATAATTAAAAATAGAATGAAGAAAAATAATGTGAAAAAAGAAAAAAACAAAGAAACATTTTTAAATTTTTATTTATTTATTTATTTATACTTTATTGATTTTTTACAGAGAGGAAGAGAGGAAGATAGAGAGCTAGAAACATCGATGAGAGAGAAATCGATCAGCTGCCTCTTGCACATCCCCCACTGGGAATGTGCCCGCAATCATGGTACATGTCCTTGACCAGAATCGAACCTGAGACTCTTCAGTCCACAGGCCGAGGCTCCATCCACTGAGCCAAACCAGTTTCGGCAACATTTTTAAATTTTTAAATAAAAAATAAAATTTTAAAAATAAGTGAAGTGTTGTTCATTTCAGCTGTTTTAATGCTCCATGGGGCTGATTTATGATCCCATTCTTCTATACTGTCTGACACTTCTCAGTGCCTTGTTAGGTAGTCAGCACCATCTTGAATTTCCATCCTTTGTGTCTATCTCCACTGCCTTGGCTGCCAGTAGGCAGGGCCAATCTGCCAACTTAGATTGTCTGCCTGCTGTCAATCTTAATCTCTCAGCATCTATTTTTAACATAGATTTAGTTAGGGAGGTTGCTGTATTGCTTTCTGGGACTGAATGGCCGCTCTTCAATCTATTATAGTCCCTGAGGGCTCTTAGAGGCTATTCAGATTTTTTGTGTCCTTTGTACCACTCAAGATATAGTCTGAGTGGTACAAATTGCCTGGAGATTTCTCGGAGATAGCTCTTCAGGAGAAAATGGCTGCTTATGTCCAGAGGGTCAGGAATGTCCCAGTGTTGGACTCCTGGTCACCTCTTCCCAACCTGCTCTTCTCCACAGCCTCTCCCCAGACTCTATAAGTCCTACTTCCACCTGCACCTCAGTCATGGGTGAGTGTTTTTATATGAAAGGTCCTATGAACTGGGTTTAGTGAATAAAAACAAAGACCAAGAAGAGGGGAAACCACTATGAGTTTCTCTACTCCTGGCACCGTGTAGCTTGGGCAGTTCCTCTTTGGGCTCAGCCTCTCATGGCTGTGGACTTAGATCTATAACCCCATGCCACCAGCAGTCCTGTAGAATTCCTTTCCACAGTCACAGGGATGTGGACTTAGTGCAATGTGGCTTCCTTCTGACCCTCTGGGTTTGGAGTTCTCACAACTCTCTCTAGCCCAGATCCCCAATCCTACCATTCTCTGAGCATCCTCTTCTCTTCCCAGCTGCAAAATTATCTCACCAGCTGTGTCTACTTTACCAATTCCAGCTGTATATTATTAAATTTAGATGCTCTTTCTCTCTATTCTTAAGGCTTGGGACACATTTGCCATTTGGCTGCCATTTTTGTGTCCTCCCATTTTTTTTTCTATAGGTATTCTTAAAGTTTAAGATGCATTTTTCCAATGAGCATTTATATTTTCTTCTGTCAGCAATCCACAGGGACATGAGGCTGTGTCCCCACCCCTGACCCCCATGGGGCTTGACAGGGGACCTCAGGCTGTGCTCCCTGCCCAGCAGAGCTTAAGGGGGGACCTCAGGCCACGCCCCCGCCTGGTGGGGCTTGATGGGGGACCTCAGGTTGTGCCCTCCACCTAGCAGGGCTTGATGGGAGATCTCAGGCTGCACCCCCCACCCGGGTGCCAGGCTGGGGGACCTCAGACTGTGCCTCCTGCCTGGTGGGGCTTAACAGGGGACCTGAGGCTACACACCCCACCAGTGCTCCGAGCAGGGGGACTTGAGGCTGCACCTTCCCGCCTTGTGGGGCTTGACAGGGGACCTCAAGGTGTGCCTCCCTGCACCAGTGCTGGGTTAGGGGACCTCAGGCTGCTCCCCTCACCCTGGGCTGGGGAACCTGAGGCCATGCCCCCACCCAGTAGAGCTTGATGGGGTACCTGAGGCTGCGCCCCCCTCCGGCACCAGGCCAGATGACCTGAGGCTGTGCCCCATGCCTGATGGGGCTTGATGAGGGACCTCAAGGCACACCCCCAGCTTGGAGGGGTTTGACAGGGAACCTCAGGCCATAACCCCCCTGCCCCCTTGCCCGTGCTGGGCCAGGGAACATGAGGCCTCTCCTGGCAGAGCTTAACAAGGGTGGGACCAGCTAGGTCCGGATCTATCCCAATTAGGGGGAGGGGGGAGACTGCGGATCTGGGTCTCTCGTAATTTTGAGGTGCACGTGAGTGGGCAGGGACTTGACTCTGGGTCCCGTGGTGCATCTCAGTCTCTGACAGGAGGAAGATTTTCAAATATTTTCAAAATGTTACTAATTTTCTTTAATCTCTGATACTTCTATTTTAGAGAAAGGGAAAATAGCAATATTAAAATATTTCCTCTAATTAATCCCCTTTTAATGTGCATGAATTTTGTGCACCAGGCCACTAGTTCATCTATAAAGCCAAATTCAGATACACTAATGTGTAATTATAACTAACTTGAATGCATTAAAATTTTTAAATTATTCAACTTAAATATAAATGAATTGAAACAGAAAATGAACCTTGCTTTAACTCAAGCATGTCTGTGGAAACCATAGACACATGTAAAAGCAGGTGGTGCATATAATCTAATTCTGTTTAAGCAACAAAGTAAAAGGGTGTTTACTTTGATGACTTCGATGACAAGCTATAGTTGTTTCAATTGTCACTTTCTTAGTATTGTATACCAAGGTGTAAAATATCTTGCAACAAATATCTTTCAGTTCAATAATGTGCGCAGAGTCATGCAACTAGTAAGTGGCAGAGCTCTTAGCTCCGTAAATGTTCTGATAAGTACCTTTCAGGTTCACTCACCAAAATTTGAACAACAACGTGAAGAGGAGCTACAAGATCCAGGACAGGACCTGATTAGGTAAAATCACCTGGATCTATTGTAAGCTTTCTGTTTTCTTTGTCTGGGTCCCTAGTAGGTAGCCCCAAGTTTTGTTATGTATTGTTTTAATCATAATTTTCCCTTTCACTCTGAGGCACAACCTCACCTTTGAAGGACAGTTACATATCCATGCATCTGACACAGCATCTGCCTGTGTTAATTGCCACCTCTGCTTCTGTTTATCTGTCTGTAGAGGCCTCTCTACACTTGTTAAGGTTGTCTACTCACTGTCATGGAACCCAGGATCTTGTGAACAAAACAACATAAAATCTTTCAGAAAATAAAACATAGTTGATCAATTGAATAAGTAATAAGTTTTGAGCCCCAACTGGGTGGCTCAGTTTGTTGGAGCATCCCATACACCAAAAGGTTTTGGGTTCGGTTGCCAGTCAAGGTACATACCCAGGTTTCAGGTTTGATCCTGAGTTGGGGCAACTGATTAATATTTCTCTCTCACATTGATGTTTCTCTTTCTTTCGCCCATCCTCTCTCTCTAAAAATCAATAAGTATATCCTTGGATGAGGATTAAAACAGAAGAAGAAAGCAAGAAGTTTTTAAATAAAACAGATGCTACTTACATGGGTGGACTATCACCACAATACTTTCCAATTCTTTTAGCATCGTTGACTTCTCCACCATTAAACACAGCCACATAATCATATCGGCAGTAGTTATCACGTTCAACATCAAACTTCTCAAACTTTAATTCTATAAGCTTTAGTAAAAACACAGAATTAGAAGGATTAATATAGCATTGCCGAATATCCTCAAATGAAATTCTTTCTCCCTCCAGATTTGTAGGTACCATGATTTTCCTTTGTAAAAATGCATTCTGTTTAAATTATTCTTTCATATTTCTTCTGTGGCATTCATATTTCTTGTGCTATTCTTTTCATTTAATTTTTAGTCATTCCAAAAGGTCATCTCACTCCCAGAGCAATCCTAGGTAAGATCTTAAACTTAAACCTACCAAACTAGGGAATAGTTATTTTCAAAAGTCCATGGGGTAGGCTTGATCTATTCCCATGCTAAGTTCTGTCCTGCAATTGACATATGAAAGTAGGTCCCAGAAAGGGTACAAATTCATATAACCACCCACTAATGAGCAGTGGACACTACACATTCTCTGTTAATTGTTTTACAGCAATGAATAAAGTTATCTGTGGGGAATCTGCACAGGTTCTATTTTTAAAAACAACCAAAGAAATTATAAAGCAGGCTAGCTTTCATAGCAGACCACTTGCTTTTTGAAGAAGTATGGCCTATTTGCATTGGCTTGGTCAAAGTGATGCAGGCAGACTGTTTTTTTTTGTGTGTGTTTTTTTTTTACACTTTTTTTTAAGGAATATTTAATATTAACATTGTGAGTTATTATCTTTTGCACGTCAAAGTTACACATTTCAAACAAATCATCATTTATATTTACAGTATACAAATGCAAAGCACTAATTTCCCACTAAATCACTTCCTTAAAATGGTACATGTGATGTTATGAAATTAGCTATTAAGTATTCGAAATAGTGGAAAAGAGGTCCTTTCTTCAATCTTTTTTTTTAATATATATATATTTTTTTATTTATTTTTTTGCCTCCCCTCCCTCCCTACCTCACATGCCCTCCCTCCCCAAAGTTTTATGTCCATTGGTTGTACTTATGTGCATGTATAAAAGTCCTTTGGTTGATCTATTATCTCCCCCAGATCTTCCTCCCCTCCCCAATGTAATTTGAGTCTGCTTGTTGATATACTGTCTCTATATCTATCTTTTGGTTCATCAGTTTATAATGTTCTTTATTATCCACAAATGAGTGAGGTCATGTGGTATTTTTCTTTCATTGACTGGCTTATTTCACTCAGCATGATGTTCTCCATTTCCATCCAGGTTGCTGCAAATGATGAGAATTCCTTCTTTTTTATGGCAGCATAGTATTCCATTGTGTAGATGTACCAAAGTTTTTTGATCCAATCATCTGCTGACGGGCACCTAAGCTGTTTCCAAATTCTAGCTATTGTAGATTGTGCTGCTATGAACATAGGGGTGCATATATCCTCTCTGATTGGTGTTTCTAGTTTCTTGGGATATATTCCTAGGAGTGGGATTACTGGGTCAAATGGGAGTTCCATTTTCAGTTTTTTGAGGAAACTCCACACTGTTCTCCACAGTGGTTGCACCAGTCTGCATTCCCACCAGCAGTGCACGAGGGTTCCCTTTTTTCCACAACCTCGCCAACACCTGTCGTTTGTTGATCTGTTGATGTTGGCCATTCTGACAGGTGTGAGATGGTACCGCATTGTTGTTTTGATTTGCATCTCTCGGATAATTAGTGACTTTGAGCATGTTTTCATGTGCCTTTTGGCCTTCCTTCTGTCTTCTTTTGGAAATATTCTATTTAGGTCCATTGCCCATTTTTTAATTGGATCATTCATTTTCCTTTTATTTAGTTGTATAAGCTGTTTGTAGATGTTGGAGATTAAACCTTTATCAGTGGTAACATTTGCAAATATGTTCTCCCACACAGTGGGCTTTCTTGTTTTGTTGATGGTTTCTTTTGCTGTAAGAAAGCTTTTTATTTTGATGTAGTCCCATTTGTTTATTTTCTCTTTAGCTTCCATTGCCCTAGGGGCAGTATCAGTGAAGAAGTTCTTTTGGCATACATCTGAGATTTTGCTGCCCGTGGAGGCTTCTAGTATTTTTATGGTTTCCCGTCTGATGTTTAAATCCTGTATCCATTTTGAGTTTATTTTTGTGTATGGTGTAAGTTGGTGATCTAGTTTCATTCTTTTGCATGTATCTGTCCAATTTTCCCAACACCATTTATTGAAGAGACTGTCTTGACTCTATTGTATATTCGTGCCTCCTTTGTCAAATATTAATTGAGCATAATGATTTGGGTTGATATCTGGGTTCTCGATTCAATTCCATTGATCTATATGTCTGTTTTTGTGCCAGTACCAGGCTGTTTTGAGAACAGTGGCTTTGTAATACAGTTTGAAGTCTGGTATTGAGATCCCTCCTACTTTACTCTTCTTTCTCAGGATTGCTGTGGCTATTCGGGGTCTTTTATTGTTCCAAATGAACTTTTGGAGAGTTCTTTCTAGGTCAGTGAAATATGCCGTTGGTATTTTAATGGGGAGTGCATTGAACCTATAGATTGCTTTAGGAAGTATGGACATTTTGATGATGTTGATTCTACCAATCCATGAACATGGTATTTTCTTCCATCTCCTTACATCTTCCTCTATCTCTTTTTTCAGTGTCATGTAGTTTTCCGCATATAGGTCCTTTACTTCCTTAGTTAAATTTATTCCTAGGTATCTTAATTTTTTTGGTGCGATGGTAAATGGAATTGCTTTTTCAGTCTCTGTTTCTATAAATTCGCTGTTGGTGTATAGAAATGCCATAGATTTCTTGGCGTTAATTTTGTATCCTGCTACATTGCCAAATTCATTTATTAAGTCAATTAGTTTTTTAATGGAGTCTTTTGGGTTTTTTATGTACAATATCATGTCGTCTGCAAATAAGGATAGCTTTACGTCTTATTTTCCAATTTGGATGCCTTTTATTTCCTCCTCTTGTCTAATTGCAATGGCTAGTACTTCCAGTACTATGTCAAACAGGAGTGGCGAAAGTGGGCATCCCTGTCTTGTTACTGTTCTTAGAGGGAATGGTTTTAGTTTTTGCTCTTTGAGTATGATGTTGGCTGTGGGTTTATCATATATAGCTTTTATTATGTTGAGGTATGATCCTTGTTCTCCCACCTTGTTGAGAGTTTTTATCAGGGAAGGGTGTTGGATTTTATCGAATGCTTTTTCTGCATCAATTGATATGACTATATGATTTTTATCTTTCAACTTGTTTATGTGATGTATCACGTTTATTGATTTGCAGATATTGTACCATCCTTGCATTCCTGGAATAAATCCTACTTGGTCATGGTGTATGATCTTTGTGATGCTCTGCTGGAGTCGATTTGTTAGAATTTTGTTGAGGATTTTGGCATCTATGTTCATGAGGGATATTGGCCTATAATTCTCTTTCATTGAGTTGTCTTTATCTGGTTTTGGTATTAGGGTGATGCTGGCTTCATAGAAGGAGTTTGGAAGTGTTCCTTCCTCTTGGATTTTTTGGAATAGTCTGAGGAGGATAGGTTTTAGTTTCTTCCTTGAATGTTTGGTAAAACTCTCCTGTGAAGCCATCTGGCTCTGGGCTTTTGTTTGCTGGAAGCTTTTTGATGACTGTTTCAATTTCTTCCCAAGTCACTGGAGGCAGACTGTTTTTTATTTGGTGACTGGGATGGCTACACTGAGGACCTGATTAGTTTGCTATGTGAGCAAAGGGTAACCTAAATATAATATGTACTTGTTTTATTGTCCCACAATTAGCGGCTTCTACTTATAAAATCTTTCACAGGGTTAAACAATTTCCCACAGGATTTACTTGCCATTTGTACTTCAAAATCTGTTTTGAAATTGTAATTATGAAATAGAAAATTAAATGCAGGATTTTGCAAGTCAAATAGGGCAAAAGCAATTTGAATCTGGGATTTATAGAAGAAAGACCTATGTCCAGCCAGGCCTTTCTTGCCCTGCAGCAGTAGCTCTTGAGAGTTGGGCCTCTCACATTGTCTAGAAAATTCACACATGAATGCTTTCTTCATATTTTCAGGGAATCTTACCTGATTCTTTGGGGCTAGAATGTGCCACAAGCAAGTGACTCCTGCAGGGTAATCGCGGTCTGGCCAGTTGGGGGTTTTAAAAGAGCCGGAAGGTCTTTCAAGGTGTCCTCCACAATATTGATCCCCTGAAGTTATTAAATATAAAAAAAAATCCAAGTTTATGTCCTCATAGAGGTTATCCCAATGCAACCATGAGGAGATTAGTAATTTGGAATATTAAGTGATAGTATAACAAATAAGGACAATTTCAGAAGCTCTTAAATTTTCTCTTAAAAGTGGTCACATAGTTTCCTGTACACACACACACACACACACACACACACACACACACACACACCGTGTAGTCATATATCTCCCTTGTGAAGTCTGTTCAGGTGTTGACCCATTTTTATATTTATTGGGAACTTTATCTTTTTTGTCATTGTTGAGTTTTATGAGATTTTTATATATTCTGAATAGAATTCCTTTATTAGATATTTTCATGAATATTTTCTCCCATTCTGTAACTTACCTATTCATCTTTGTAACAATGCCTTTTTAAAAGTACTGGTTTTAATTTTAATGTTTGCATGGTACATGTTTTTTCATCCCTTTACTTCAACCTATGTTGATTTTGTATTTGAAGCACTTTCTTATATACAAAGCTCTTTTTTCTAGTGTTGGGATTTCCTATTTCACCCATTTTAATAACTACTGTCTTATTATTAGAATAATTAATCCTTTGAATTTAATACTTGGATATAGTAGGCCATTTATTATTTTGTTTTATCCATTTCACTTTTCTTTTGTTCCATCTGCTCTCCATTTCCTGCTTTCTTTGCGTTAGTTGAATGATTTTAGTATTGTATTTTAATATTTTCCCTTTTAGCCAAATTCCTACTTTTTTTTTCACTTTTTAAAAATTCATTTAATTTTTACATTTTTAATGGTTACTCCAGGGATTGCAATATGCATTTTTAACTTATCAAAATCTGCCTAGAGTTAATATTGTATTTCTCATGTATTATATATGTGTGTGTATATGTGAACAGTATAGTTCATTTACCTCTCAATCCTTTGTCCTATTATTGTAATATATATGACATCCTTATACATGTCATACTTCATACATTCCATAATACAGTATTAAAGTATTTTTTAACAGTCACATGTAAAGAAATCAAGAGGAAAAAAAAATGTAGTCTTTTATATTTACCACTAGTAGCCTGGTGCACAAAATTTGTGCATGGCGGTGGGGTGGTGGGAGGGGGAGAGTGGTCCCTCAGCCTGGCCTGCAAACTCTCCAATTTGGGACCCCCTTGGGGGACATCTTACTTGCAATCTGGGACCACTGGCTCCTAACCGCTCTGCCTGCCAACCTGATCAACCCCAACTGCCCTCCCCCCCCCCCCGCCGCCGCCAGCATGCTCACCCCCTTCTTTACCCCCTGCCTGCCTGATCCCCCTTTACTTCCCTCACTTCTGGCCTGCTTGCCCCCAATTGGCCTCCCCGCCTCCCTGACAGCCTGATCACCCCCAACTGTCCTCCCTTCCTGGCCTGATCGCCCCTAACCACCTCTGCCTCGCCCTGCCACCATGGATTTGTCTGGAAGGTCTCCTGGATAGTCTTCCAGTCTAATTAACATATTACCTTGTTATTAGTATAGATTTCCATTGGCCTTTAATCCTCCCAGTAACTTCATGTAATCCTGTGGAGTCATTTCCCTTCAATGTGGATCTCCCTTTAATATTTCTGTAATGCAAGTGTTTATTTGAAAATGTCTAATTATGCTTTCATTTTTTAAGACTAGCTATAAAATCCTGATCTCCAGTTTTATTCCAGCACTTTAAAAATGCTGTTCCTCTGCCTTCTAGCCTCCATTGTTTCTCATTAAAAGAAAGCGTATCATTCAGACCATCTGGCTTTTATCTTATTGATTTTAATATTCACTCCTTATCTTTTGATTTCTGTAACTTAATTTTGTTATGCCTAGGTGTGGCTTTATTTTTATGTATCTTGTTTAGGATTTGTTGTTCTTGGTCTATAAATTGATGCACTTCACTACATTTTGTAGCTTCAAGCCATTATTTCTTCAGATATTTTTTTCCTGCACTATTATGATTCTCTTATTCTCTAGGATGCAAATTACACATGTGTAAGATCACATGATATTGTCTCCCTGGTCTTAGGGACTCATTCTCATTAAGATTTTCCCTCCAGCCAAAACCAGTTTGGCTCAGTGGACAGAGCGTCGGCCTGCGGACTGAAGGGTCCCAGGTTCGATTCCGGTCAAAGGCATGTACCTGGTTGTGGGCACATCTCCAGTGGGAGGTGTGCAAGAGGCAGCTGATTGATGATTCTCTCTCATCCATGTTTCTAACTCTCTGTAAAAAAAATCAATAAAATATATATTTAAAAAAAAAGATTTTCCCTCCTGGTTGTTCAGATTACATAATTTCTAACCAAATTCACAGTCTCTTGCTTCTATCATTTCCAATCCATTTGTAAGGCCATAGATAAAATTTAAATTTCAAATTCTGTATCTTTCACATCTATAATTACCATTTTATTCTTTTTTATAGTTGCTGTTTCTCCTCTGAGATTCTCAATCTGTTTATTTAATATATATTTAAGTTTTTTAAATATTTTTGACAACATCCATGTGTCTTTTTAAAAATATGTTTTTATTGTTTTTTGTTTGTTTGTTTTTTGTTTTTAGAGAAAGAGAGGAAAGGAAAGGGATAGAGAGATAGAAACATTGATCAGCTGCCTCCTGCACACTCCCCACTGGGAATTGAGCCCACAACCGAGGCATGTGCACTGAACAGGAATTGAATCAGTGAACTCTTGGTTCATGGGTCAACACTCAATAACTAAGCCACACTAGTGAGCCTCCCTTTAAGTTTTTAAACATATTTCTTATAGCTGCTTTAAAGTGCCTTCTGCTAATTTCAACCTCTGACTTGTCTTGGTATCAGTTTTTTTTTTTTTTCTTGAATACAGACACACTTTCCTGGTTTCATAACATGAATTGATAGTGGACAATATGAATGATACCCATTATAGAGACTCTAGATTCTTTTGTGTTCCTATGAAAAGTGATTTTTGCTCTAGTTGGCACTTCTGGAGGCACCTCTGAGAGACCTGTGCAGTAAAACATCTAAAGGTGAGCACATGGGAAAAAATAGGAAAACAAGAAGGGAGGACAGCTCAGATAGCCATGGACTCAGCCCTGCAGCCAGGAGTTCGAAGCTATCCTGGCCCAGAGAGGGAAGAAAGCCAGGGTAGCAAGCATTTGCTTTAGCCAGGAGGAGCAGAGACTTGGGGACAGAGTAGCAGAGTCAGCAGGGTAAGCAGTGTGAATAGCAGCTGAGTCAGCGGAGAGGCTGGGGCAAAGACACAGCACAGGGATTCTGCTGCAGCTGTCCACTGTCAGATGGTTGGTGTTTCAGACAAAGAAAGGGAGTCACAGAACCTGTTGTCACTTGGACTTCCAAAATTTGCTTCCTGTTGCCCTTGGTGTAGGATTAGGTTGAGAAGCACATTATCTGTAAACTGAGAAATACTGCAGAATTGCTGCTTCCCTCTGTGACTGATTCCCAGTTTGGATGCATGGCAGGAAATCCCATAGAAGTCCAGGGTCACCATTATGGTAAGGGCAAAACAAACCCCACCCTGAAGCAGCAAGCAGCACTGCTGTCAGCTATAGAGGTCAAATGTGGGAGATCACAGAGGTAAAAATCTTTGATTCAGCACCACCTACTGGAAAACATAGAAAGGTATCTTCAGAGAAAACTTCTAAAAAGGCCCAATATATATAGAGAGAAGCCTAAGGGACCAAATGACCAAATGACTGGTTGACCAGTCACTATGATGCACACTAACCACCAGGGGGCAGACACTCAAGGCAGGAGCTGACCCCTGGTGCTCCAACAGCCAACCTCCCATGGCCAGCCAACTTCCCACAGTACCTCACCCTCACTGTCAAGCCCCCATCAACCCTGATCAGGATTGGACAAGATTGTCCTAATTGGCCCTAATTGCCAGCCAGGCTGAGGATCCCATCCTTGTACAAATTTGTGCACTGGACCTCTAGTAATATATAAAAGCCTAGACAGAACAGACCAGCAAATATTATGAATAACTATGGTAAATATCCAGAAAGCAAAGTGAACACAAGGAAATATATGACATAATTGACAAAGAATTAAAATTGAAATTCTGAAAATAGTCAATAAGATGCAAGAAAATACAGAAAGGCAATTCAATGCACTCAGAAAACAAACAAATGAACAAAACAAGTATTTTATCAAAGAGACTGAAAATTTAAAAAGAACTAACCAGAAATCCCAGAAATGAAGTATGCAACTAAGGAAATTAGAAATGAACTATTGAGCATAGGAAACAAAGTCAACTATACACAGGAAAGAATTAGTGACCATACAGAGGGAAGAATTTTCTAGGTAAAAATCTAGAAATGATACAGAAGGAAAAAGAGAGAGACTTGAGTATTAAAAACAAAAACAAACCAAAGAGCTCTATGAGAGCTATTTGACTCCATCAGGAAAAGCAATAGTCCTATCTAATAAAGAGGGAATATGCTAATTTACCATCACACTCTCACAAAGATGGAAGCACACATTGCCAATAAGGAAGAAATAATGCTAATTGACTGGCACACCCTCAAAGATGGCAGTGCACAGTCCCCTCAGTCCCACCAGGGCGGCAGGCATACCTGCCTCTGGAGCCCCCCAGTCCCTCAACCCCCCAGCTGCCCAGGGCTACCTGAGGTAACCAGGGCCACCTGAGGCTCAGGTAACCAGGGCCAGCCAAGGCTTGCAATGCCAGCAGTGGCAGCAGTAGAAGTGTGATGGGGTGTTGCATTCCCCTGATCACCAAGTCGCTCCCCGCTCCCAGACTGTGAGGGGGCAGACTGGGCTGAGGGACTACACCTTCATTGCCTGAATTTTCATGTAACCAGTCTTCTTGTATAAGAATAATAGGCATTAAAGGAGGAGGAGGAGGAGGAAGAGGAAGAGGAGGAGGAAGAGGAGGAGGAGAAGGAGGAGGAGGAGGAGGAGGAGGAGGGAACAGAGAGCCTATTCAAACAGTGAATAAGAACCTCCCAAACCTACAGAAAGAGCTA